AAAGTTAAACTCATCCAACGATGATAATACGGTGGTATCTCACCACCAATTAAGGATGGTTGGCAAAAATGTTATCGGCAAAGAGAGGTTAGACATGCTAAACAGCTGACAATGACCTGATGACAGTCTAATTCTTCAAATAATTACAAAGATAATAAAGAGACATGAAATTCAGATAATTGATCATTGCAGGAAGAGCCCACCTACTTCACCTAGTTTGTTCTTCCCCTCGGGGTATCAACAAACAAGCAATCATCTTGCAAGTGAGCGTAATTGGGTTGGTTTGTTGTTTTATTTTCTTCACCTTTGTGCTTTGTATCTCAATAAAATTTAATTTTACCGGCTCCATACATCAACCATGAAGAAGAAAAAAACAAAAAAATAAAACGTAATAATCAATTACTCTGTTAAAAACTCGGGGAAAATAAACGTACAAATGCGTTAGGATAAGAGGCGTGCATCACATAGATCATCCTGGCTGTCCCCATTTTCATGGATGTTAACTAAAATGTGCACTATAGATGATTAAAAAAAATATAAAAACTACTTGCGACTGGCTCAAAATGTTCCATAGTGATCATAGAGCTGCACTGGGATCTAATTGGAGACGTCTTCATGAACTGGGAAAAGACTAGACATAGCAAAAACAATTACACAACATTTCAGTGCTCAAATAGCCCTTTCTTCAGCCACCACGAGCTTCCCTTCTGGTGGCATCATGCAGCAGTTCAACGTCCACTCCCTCTGGGGGTAGTTGCACATATCTCACGACTGATCCCCTAATAAAACAGTTCCTCACTGACAACTGCAAAAATACATTATCGTGCAGTTGTCAGATTGGAAGGCTAACATGATATTAAAGAGTAAGTTCAATTTCAATTTCCATAATGAGTTTTTTATGCATAACAGGGGTAGAAAACACAACCAGATAAGATCAACAACAACAACCAACAGACCTAAACAAAGCATACACAAGAGTATAAGAACATATAAAAGGTGAAAGACCAAGCAAATAATTGTTGGTCATGACTCATGAGACCTGATGACCCGTGCTTTGAGATTCAATTTAGATTGGCAACAATTATAAGGCAGTCTCTATCATACAGAGTTGATAAAGGTGATCCTTCCATCACAAGACTCACAGTGAGCATTCATATCACAAAATCCATAAAATATAAAGCTCACTTACATGTCAAATTCAAATCAATAGTAAGTATATGGTCTGCATAGTTTTAAAGTAATAGAAGCGAAAACCCCACAACTAGATTACAACACATTAATTTCAAATACATTTAATCCTTTCAAGCTACTAAGTGCCAGCATAATCCCATCAAAACATAAACAAATCATATTTGATTAGCAAATTTTGTCACTATTCACCAGAAGTAAACATGTGTTGATTTGGAATCATCAATATAAGTGGTGGAAGCAGCCATTCCAGCTCACACGAAATATTCAGTTTTTCCCATTACAATTGGACGAGTCAAAAGAACACCCCCATGCAGTGGTTCAAGCTCTTTTTTTTCAAGACTTCCTCCACGTATGATTCTTTCAGAGTAGATCTAAAAGGATAGCATTTTGGATGAACGAGGAAGAAAAACTTATTTCTCCATTCACCTTAAAGATTCTTTCCCATTACTTAAGTTCAGTTTTATGACAGGATTTCTTCAGTGCAAGTTGAAATTTGTGAAAGAAACCCTAACAGTATAACTAAGCTACAATATGCCTGTTAGTAAGCAGGTCAGACTTGAGAACTTGATTTTGCCTCTTAGAGAGAGAGAGAGATAGAGAGATAGATTTAACAGAGTTTTCTTGTAGAGGAAGATCAAGGGCCCTGCACCTTTCTTATTACACAAACACACATACCAGTGAGTGGTTAAACCTGGCTTGATTTTTCCTTCTTTATGATGACGCATAGAACTGGGAAAGTCTTTTTCAAATTTTTTTAGAAGAAGGAAGCCTTTTTCAACTCAAACAAGCATTTATTGGAAAAACAAAATATATGCTTCTTTCCAGGAACTGGCTTGGGCTTGGGGGTCCTCAACATCAATTTTCACCTTCTACTAAGAACTATTCATTATCATATTCTCCATAAAATCTTTAAAACTATATAATTTATCATTGGTTTTATGATATCCATGCCCTTTTAGGTGTACTGTTACCCTTTCTTACGGCATTAACTTGAGTAAACTAAGTTTTAGCAACCTTCAAACAGTTAACAAAACAAAACCATGTCAGATGACTCTCTCTCATTTTCTCTTCATTTTTTTGTCCTATCTAGCTTATTGAATAGTGTTCTATAATGCCTTATAGTGGTCTTTCAAAATTTTCCCTTCCACTTCATTCGTATTCTATGAATCATACTTCTCCACATTCAACTCATCCCTTTTCTCTATCTTCGCTTTATAATCCAATTAACTAACATCACATAATGAACCAAAATGCCCCGCCTAGCCTTTCGCATTAGAAATTCAAATACCCACCCATCAATAAATATTCTGCTTATGATCACTCCGAAGTCGGCACATATCCAAGGAAATGGCCTATCACTATAACTACTGTTATTCATCTGCTATTAGAACTGAGTTAATTATGATAAATTCTAGAAACTAAAAAGATTGGCAAATTGTCAAAACGAAACCACAGAAAACAGACCAAGATTTTTTTAATTTTTAAAAGAGCTATTATTACCCAAAACCCTAACTTTTTATCACAAAGGATTATCCCCTCAAAATACCAAACCCTAGAAACCAAGTATACAACACACAGGCACACACATGTACACAGATGAGTCAAAATTTAAGACAGATGATAGATACCATGTGCGGGTACTTCTCTTGGTCGACGACCCTTGTGTTCTCTAGCTTTATGTTGAGGTACTGATCCACTGAGTGCAGTGTTCCTCTGATTGCAAGATCATTCTTTAGCTCCACTGTCACTTCTCTGCCCACCAACTCCTTGAAATACGAGAAGAACAACTGCACACACGCACGAACAAAAAAAACCCTGTTGAAATTACGGGTTGCAGGGAAATTCAAAGAAAATCTGCAAGAAAATACAAATAGAAAATATGGGGGAAAACCCATTATGAAAAAGTTCCCGTAGAAGAAACTGGGAATTGAAAGTTACCATTTTTATGCACGAGATGAGAGAGACAAGGAGATGGTGAGCCCTTTTGGGTTATCTAGGATTGAAGTTGGGGACTGGAGCTTGTTCTACAGAACTGAAGAGTAACACGAAGAAAAAAGGGTAGAGGTGGAATGTGGAGTGGCCACAAATAGGCAGAGAGAAATTTTGCCGCGGCAGGCTAGCTGGATTTGGGGTTTCAAGATTTGAGCCTTATTGGAGTTAGCAAGGCCCTTCCTAGCCTTGATCTCTTTTTGGGCCTTAGTCCCCTCATACAAAGATGGGTCCAAATGTTTTCGGTTTGAAATCCAACGATAAAAAGTTACGAGTTTTTTTAATTGGTTGCAATGGTCTTATTAGATTCAATGGAACGGATGAAAAGCCAAATTCACATCTACAATTTTACATTCGCTTGAAGCAAAAATCACATTTATATTCCTCGGAGATGTAAATAGAATGTAGAAATGGATTTACATCTCCAAACTTATATGTTGTATCGGAGATGTTCTTAATTAAGTTTTTAACTTTTCAAATTAGAGTCGAAAACTAAATGAGCTTCAGGTTAACGTATGTCACTATCTTAGTTGAGAAAAAAAATTATGAACTAGCTAAATTGGCTAGAGCATATATGCTTCCCATTTTGCATCCAAGTTCGAATCCCCCTCTTCAATGAATATCGTTTCTATATATATATATATATACTGAACAAGAAGGTAAGTAATAAGTTTGGATTATAGGTACAAAGTTCAATTTCCTTCCAATTTCTCACTTACTCTCAAATCTCTCTTGGTATATATTTTCTATATCTTATTACATGTCTATCCTATTCCTCAAATATAGGGTTTGCGAGGTGAGGGCAGTGTCCTTCATGAATTAAGCCATTCCAAATGTGACAGTGACGGAGGAATGGAAGGAGTGCTGTATCTGTTTGAAAGACCTGAAGGTGGGTGCTGAGGCCATGGAGAGATGCCTTGCAAGCACAGGTTTCACTCGCCTTGTCTCGAAACGTGGCTGCTCAAGCGTGCCTCCTGCCCGCTTTGCAGGTCCGCCATTCCCATACAAGAGGAAGCTCAGACCACCAACATGGTTAAGGGGACAGCTTCAGAGCAACATGGTCATGAAGAAGATAGGGATTACCATAACATGATGAGGCAGATGTTTAAATACAACCCCAGAATAAGCCCATACGACGACATGTTGTAGGGTTTATGAGGGACACGGTAATGGATATTTAGTCATGAAGATGATTAGGTTTAGGGTTTCTGAGGGGAACGCTAAGGCAATATTTTGGTGAAGATAGGGACTTTTGGAGCATCCGTTGACCGCAGACTAGACGGCATCAGATGTAACAGGTAGTTAAGTTTCCATTCTTAAATAATAAGATTGTTTTTGGCCACACTTGAGTGCTAGATCGGATTTGATGATTATTATTATAATGACTTCTTTATTTTTCCTATCAGCAGCATTCGTAGATTTTCAGTATACTTTGACACACATAGATAAAATAGATTTTGAGTATACTTTGACACATGTAAAGCGAACTTTTTTTCATTCAGGTTCGATTCACTTAATTAGGAGACAATCTTAAAGCAATTCAATATAATACTCCACCTTCCCCCTCCTTGGGGAATGACCGAAAAGAAAAAAAAAAAAAAAAAATCTTAACCACTTGAGCTAAGTATTAATTATGTAATATTTTTGGCATTTGGCTAATTATTTCGTTCTTCATATAACCTTGGACAAAATTCTGAACTGATGGTTAAGTTTACTTGCTTACTCTAATTCACATAGTTCTTAAAAGCAAAATAGAAAATAGTTCATTTTATTTAGAAAACTAGGGACAGGAAATTGTAATTTGTAACATGAAGATCATACATTTATTCCTATATATATATATATATATATATATACTCTCTTAGCTATGAATCTCAAACTTTTTCCTAAGCTCCAAAAGGAAGTCATACATTTTGTACTGATCAGGCAGAGACTTGGACACACTCTCCCTCTGCATGCACCTCTTAGCCCAAGCCACAAGCCTTGGACACTCCTTCACCATGCACAGGTTTCCACAGGTCTCTAGCGCATAGAACCAGCTATAGAAAGGGATAAGTGCCACGTCAACTATGCCAAAGGTCTCACCCCCAAAGTAGGTCTTGTCTCCCAACTCATTTTCCAGCAGCCTGAAGCACTCTATCAGTTCCTTCTTTGCTGCTTCTTGGATTTCACCTCTTGTTCCCCACACCAACTTTCCTGTAGAATAAATCTGCAACAACAAGAAAACCCAGTTTGAAAACATAGTTAAAAAGTTTAACCCGCGCGTTTGCATGTAAGGAACCAAGTATTTTTCTTTTCGTGAAAGAAAGTAAATAAATTACGTAAGGGATGGAAATTGACAGACCTTCTTGTCAACATAGTCAGCCCAGAACCTGGCATGGGCTCTATGATAAGGATCAGAAGGCAGCAGAGGAGCTTTGTGACTCCAAACCTCATCAATGTATTGAACAATGATGAGGGATTCGCATACGGGTCTTCCCTTGTGGATCAAGACTGGGATTTGCTTGTGAACCGGGTTCATCTTGAGAAGCAGAGGGCTCTTGTTGCTCAAATCTTCTTCCCTGGGTTCATAGTCGATGCCCTTCTCCGCCAAGGCGATCCTCACTCTCATCCCAAATGGGCTTGGCCAGAAATCCAATAAAACCACTTCGTCTGCCATTGCTAGCTACCTCTTGAGAGTCTCTGCTTGCCTTTTGGTACTTCTCTTTCAATTCTCTCTGTGCAACAAAGCCAAAGCAAGAGTGAGTTTATTTATACATGGCACGGATAGAGAGAGTAGTAGAATTTTCTTTGGGTTGGTTTGTCTAGGCTCTTCCCTTGTCTTATCACTGCTTGCGTAAGAACCACATAGGCATAGCTAGTATTTTCCAGAGCCGACGACACATAATTCACATTAGTCCTGCCCCACAAAAAGAGAATCGGAATGTGTTACCATCTATCCCAATCGAATTTGTTTTTTTATTTATTATACAAGCAATATTTTTTTAATTTATTATACAAGCAATCTTAGTTGGACTCGAGTACAAGATCAATCATACGACTTCAAGTGCAAAGGTAAATATTCTAAACCACGTGAACTACAAGCCTCTTACTATCAAAATTTGAATTTTTAAGATCCTGTTTAACACATAATTGAAGAGAATACTAGAATTAAACTAATAATTAAAAAATCTTAAAATTACTTTTTTTTTTCTTCCTCTTAAAGAAATAAAATAAATATAAACATTGCAATCGAATAGTAAACTTGTTATGGTCCGATCAAGACAAATTTCCAGTGCAGCATACACCAACAAATAACTTGTTCCAAGTAATAATAAAGTAAAGAAACCACCAACAAACAAAGTCATTAAAAAAATGTGAACAGAAAAGGTTAACTATTTTAGATGGTTGAACTTAGTTATCCATGTTTCTCTAACTACCGGATCACATTTTGAAGAAGAAAACAGTGATGATCCATAACAATGAGGGCTAAATACTGATTATACTGCCAAAAGGATATCGTACATAATGAATAGAATTCTTGACTTTGTTCTCTGCCCAAAACCAACTACACAGCCTCAAAGGAAGAAACAACTTCGGCAAGATTTGAATCACCACTTTCGTCTCAACTTGACATGATGCATCTACAAAAGTATATCGCTGTTGGCAAAGCATGACCGCTGACACCAGCACTTGCCGAAGAAGAGCTCAGTTTATATCACAATCCTCTCCTTGCTCGGGTGATATCTTCAACACCACAACAGGATTTATACAATTCACACACCAATTCCCGCCAGCTAACACTGCAAATGTTTATCAAAGAAATTATTCGATAAAAGGCTGTCATGCCACCAGCCTATTTCTCATTCAAACATCTTGATAGTAAAAGGTTCCTTTCACATACCGTGTTCGGAGTTGACAAAGCACCAAATTAATGACACTATTTTTGGCTAAATGATCGAATACGGTTGACCAAGTCCGCTCTCAAAGACTCGGGTATTTGTGAAAGAAAAGCTGATTTGGAATCCACGATCAACAACTTCCTGCAATGCATAAGTATAGACAGATGGATGTTTCAGATTAATGCAAGTACTAACACAATTTAAATACCTGATCAATTACCAACTATGTTATGTCCCGACCAATTAATACAAGTAAATGCAATTGAGAATATAAAACACAGATAATTAGAGGACTAAATAAACAGTATTAAAATTCAGAAAGTAACGAGTTCAACTCAATAACTGGGTAAAGCAAAATATAAATCATTGCAAGAAGTTAATTCACCCAAAAAAAATGTTGAAAAAAGTTGTGCTGTGCGTCCTTGTTAGACTTACCTAGATATCTCAAGAGTTATATAGGAAATGTAAAAGGCCTCTTAGATACATGAATATTGTCGTGGGTAACCAAGTAATCTCCTAACAGTGTCTGACTCGTTCAGACATGCTTATTTAACATGTCACTAATGTTCTAATATGTTATGGGTAGAGAGAGGGAAACCGAAGTTTAATCAGGAAAAAGAAATATTCCCTACAGATATTCTAGCTTCCACCAAGCATTTAGCGTGGTAAAATTGAGCGTGTCCATGATTAGCAACGTTGAAGTGACTTTTTTGCTCCTAATTAGTGATTCTCAGGATAAACATTATCAACTAACAATGGATGGACGAAATGGTTTAAAGGGGACAATTCAAGAGAGAATGTTTTCCTAGGGATGCAATCAACTAAGGGTAACAGAAGCAGAATCACAAAACGTCCCTAGTTGTTGACAATCTCACTCAAATCAGAAAGCCAAATGATAGATAAAGTGAGAATACTTGCAGAGAATTTTTCACTAAAGAAGCATACACATACTCAATTAAAGAGCAAAAATTTAATTTAATTTATTCATTTTTAAATTGATGAAATTCAGCCATATGAAGGCTAAACTACAGAAGTCTAGAGAGAAGCTTTCATCAGGATAAAAGACACACACCCACCCAATCGAATTCTATCACAGTTCATAAACAACATGGACTGGCCATATGTATAACTCAAAAACCTCGAAAAGAATTTATACAATTAAGTTTAGAGAACCATCAAGTTTCCTACATACCAATGTTAAAATGGAAAAATAATACTTACTTCACTTCATCACTGTTCAGATCGGTTCCAACTTGCTGTGCACATAACCTTTTCTTTGAACGCATAAAACTGTGCACTTTATCCGACCAGCCACATGATCGCAAAACTGAAGAAGCTTCTTTCTTGAGACTAATAAACATTAAAAAAAAAGTGTTAAAACCAATAGAATATACAACTTAAAAAAATTGAAAACAAACTATAGACTGGCATGAAGCAAATTATGAAAATTATTTTTTGACGCAATAAACACATGTTACAGGTGTCTGCAAAAAAAAAAAAAAAAAAACTCAAGTTTACAGGCAAACAAAACATGGAAAGAAGAAAACACAGAAACAATAATTAATTGCATGCATCATGGAAGAAAACCTATGAGCCTGAAATCTGCAATATAAAACAAACTGGGCAAGTCCAGATGTCACAGAGGAGGGAAAATGATATGAGACCAACGAAGTTATTAAGCAGAAACAATAAATTAGGGGTACACATAAAAAAGAAACAATCAATAAACAGTACCAAGTAGACACAATCATTCAAAGAATGTCATAGTCATTAGAAAAATCCAAGTATATGGGCTATGAACTCATATCAATACTTCTAAACCTAAAACAACAAACATAAAATTCATCACTTGGGGAATAGACTTTCTTTTGGCAGGGCAGGGGAGGACACGTGGGGATATGGAAGACAGATGTATGACTGAACTGGAGATACGGGATCATTAAGATAACTAATCCAGAAGACTATGCAATTCATAACAAACAAATCTTAAGCCACATTTCAATACCAGATCCTAATAAAGATAAGTTGCTACAGAGTGAGATTTCATTTCAATTGAATGTTGTAGAGTGCCACATACATTTCCTTCAGTCCTTCAACTTCTGCCCGGGATTGATCATCACGTGCAAACAAAATGCATGAATCCTGAGATTTTCTTTTGGGCCCAGAGACCCCAGAGTGGCCATGGAGACCACTATTATCCAATTCACTGTGATCAGGCACTTCCCCTGCTGTCAACCTGTCTCGTGCACCAATACCTTCACAGAGTTCAGTTTTTACTGAACCAGTACCACCATTTTCTCGTGATAACAAAGAAGCTTTGCTACTGTTACCACCAATAATATCAGACTTTTTATCTCTGTGTAAACCATCCTTGTTTATCAAAGATGTCTTAGCTTTCTCACGTTTCTCCAAACTAACTGGGTCCTTCACATCTCCGTTCAATCCTATGGACCGATTCTCGTAAGCAATTTTTCCATTATCAGTTGCAGGTGCTCTTTCCCCATTTGATCCTAAAGATAGATTCTTGTGAGCAATTTTTCCATTAGCAGTAGCAGGAGTTCTTTCCCCATCTGATCGAAATGCTTCATCCTTATAAGCAATTTTTCCATTATCAGTTGTCCGAGGTCTTTCCCCATTTGATCCTAAGGATTGATTTTTGTGAGCAACTTTTCCATTATCAGTTCCAGGAGCTCTTTCCCCGTTTGATCCTAAGGATTGATTCTTGCAAGCAAATTTTCCATTATTAGTTGCAGGAGCTCTTTTGGAGCTAGAATTTCCACTGATATTAAACTTCATCCGTGGGCTAGAAGGCGCTTTATCAACCTTAGATATGGCTGAGATATCCTTCCAAGAAGACTGTTCATAAGGTTTTGTTTGTGCTCCTTTCGGTGGAAGAGCAGGCTTTGGGCTTTTAGATGTTTCACGGCCATTACAATCACGAGAACTCACTCCATTGGAAGCAGTGCTAGCTGCTGGCCTTTGGTTGGTACGAGAGAAGAAAAGGATGTAAACCTTTTCAGATAATACCTCTTGCAAGGTGGAAAGCGAGACAAATGAATCATTGCAGCGATACCACCGACCCATGGCATCCTAGATTATGAAAAAAAATAAGATTAGCATATAGTTGATAATATGTGTTCCAAATTTACTGATTGCAGGGAAGGTGATAGGTGAACAGAGACCTTAATATATGCATAATAGTGACCAGACTCTGGTGAGAAGCCTGAATGCACAATAGTGCCAAAAAGCTTATACTCAGGCCGCAGATCCTGCATTGCAGTTAAAAATTCAACAGCATTACTAGTAGGAAAGAAATTGTCTGCAACATCTCCCAAATATAAAAGGAATAAGTAGAAACAAACAGAAGTCTCATGAGACTGGAGTCAAATAAACGCCTGCATTAGCATAAACCAATGTTTCTAAATGTTTCTAAGAAGTTAAAGAAAGAATCTGGAGAAAAGTAACATTCTTATCGGATATCAAGAACTGGACTGCCTCATATTGAAGTGCAAGAAAGGAGATACACAAGAAATGAACCTACAAGTAAGTAATAACATTTCCAAATGAATATACAACAAACCAACGTGCATTTGATATGCAAGAAAAAATACAAAGACCATGATGCATCTGCATCGTAAATTACCAAACAAAGTACAAAACACATATCAGGACGATTCATTTACTAGAATCCAACAAACAATGCATTTTATTTCTCCAGTGATGCATCGTCACAGCCTTGTTAAAGTACAATAAAGAACATGAAGCTGAAAAAGTCGAACTTTGCACAGAGAGAAGCAGATAAGTTGGATATACAACTCAACTCAACGAAGCCTTAATCCTACTATGTGAATAATTAGTTGAATATCTCTTGTTCAAAAATTTTAATCCCTTTATATAGTCTTTTCTGGCTCCCATTTCTAGCACTACATTTTTCTTTTTTGAAACGTAGCTCCATATTTAATCAACCAAGATAATGAATTGGAGATTCCTTTTCCAACCAAGTCAACTCCCATATTCACGCTTGATACGCAGATTGAAAATATAATAATTAAAATTGCAGCACCATCCATACTCTATTAGTATATTGTGATCACTTTAGCAAGACAATAAATAAAACAATGTACATGCACCTGTAGCAAATTTTTGTCCATGTTGTGTTCCCCTTTACTATATCTTACTTAGTTTATAATGGTTGACTCAGAATTGTTTATTTTTTATTTTATTTTAAAGAAGGTGATTAACTGCCAGCGTTAACTCTTCTTAAGTATAACATCAAGGGTACATCAATCGAACTCTTGACTATTTTCTTTATAAGAGACTCTTGAATATTGATTACCATGGCATTCGGTTTTGGCTTAAGGGCACCCTGGACTAACCTCTTTGTTTTCATCTAAGAAAGAAAAGTACAGACATGACACCCCATCATAGCATTGGAAACTGAATCACATAGATTTCAACAAGCTTTTAGTGCCAACTGAATTCAAGCAAAACTTATAAAGCACAAACACGTAAAAGTTGGAACTAATTACTGTACCAGACGTCACTAGCTTTTTATTATCTTTCAGTTCTACATCTTTTAATTAAATTTCTTTCCAAGTTAGGGTTCCTTTAAAACCCTTGCTAATTCAATTAGGCCTGCCTTGTGGGGAGGTATCATTACGGATATTATAATTTGAAAAGAACTGGATAGGTATTTTTCATAGGTTTAGTATAGGTTGAGTACTATCAACATTGTACACATGTAGAATTCTATATGGAACACATTGGAATTTTCTATATGTGTATATATCTTATGATTTTTTAAAAGAACTAGAAAGCGTTCTCCTTGATAGTTATTTAGTCAAGGGTTCAGCTTAACACAGAGGCTGAATTTGGACTCTTTACCCTTAAGATCTAAGGATTGCTAATGCAGTCTAGAAACTTTAAGGTAACCATCGTTATACTCAATACGTTCACTTAGCATCTAACTAGGCCCCACTATCAAATTATGCAACTTAATTAAATTCACAACTTAAGGTCTCAACTGTACCTGGCTTGCTTTGCACATGAAGCTTGAGAGCACCAAAACATCCTCAAATGAAATAGATTTATCAATCTTCCCGCCAAATATACCCTCAAATCTCTACCAACAGAAAACAACAATAACACTGTCAAGGTAAATAAATAAACACAAAAAATGGAAGGATGGAGCAACTTAAGCACCTAATAGCAAAAGGATATTAGGAAATAAGATAAACTCACCTTAAGTTGGATAACAAGAACATTGGGTGCTTGAAGAATAGACATTTGCTTCCTTGCTGCCACCAATTTGTTACAACTAAGAAAGCATAAATAACTCAATCAAAAGCCAAAACACAAGAGAAGTACTAAGCAAACAACAAAACCAGAAAGAAAGAGAGATGATACCTTTCGCATTTGTACTTGTTCTGGCCATCCAAAAGCTCAGGCTGAAAGAACCTTTGCAGGGCGTCTTTAACCGAATTACTATGAAAAACATCAAGACTAATATCCATTATCTCATCAACCTTATTGGATTCTGTGCCACAGGATAGACACTTCACCTGGCTCTGCAAAGCTCCCCCGAATATCTCCTTCACCACAGTTGACGTCGTCGTCCCATTGCCTATGCCATTGGCCACGTTGCCATTGCCATTAGAGCTGGCAGTGCGCCGCAGCTTCTTGAGGCGAAGGCAGGTGTTGTGGCAAGCATCGATCACGTAGCGGAGAAACTCGTGGGCGTCTTCCTGGCGACCGCACCGAAAGTGTTCGGAGAAAATCCTGAGACAGCTCTGTATCTTCTGCGGCGCATCTAGACTGAGATCCAGACTGAGCGAGCGCACTATTCGCTTCTCCAAAATGCAAAATGGACAGTCGCGCTTCCGCTCCGCATCCGAAGAGTCACCTACAGATTGAATTCGACATTGAATTGAATTGAATTCAAATTCACACACAATCAATCAGAGAGAGGGGGGAAGAAGAAGAAGGAACTTACAGAGAGAGGTGTGTTGGTTGCGGAGGCAGAAATTGGCGAGAGGAGGGGTGTAGGTGAGGCACTGAAGGACGCTGTTGAGGTAACAAGAGTTGCCGAGGTTCCTTAACCCTAGAGGTGGGCCCGTCTTGCGCTTGTGACTCAGTAGACTCGGCTGCCAACTCATCTGCAATTGAAATTGCAGGCCCATCAACGTTGACGACGACCATCGCACGACGCCGTTCTGCTGCTGCTGCTCCGTCCGGAACAACGCCTCCACCACCACCACCCCAATAGCATATCTCTCTCCAATCTCTAGCGCCTTTTTTTCTTCGAATGAAAAAATCAAATTAAAAAAAGAAGATAAATATTAAATATTTTGTTTGCTTTAGAATTGAATAAGAAGAAGCAGGAAAAAGTAAGAAGGGAAAGGGAAGAAGGCGGGTACGGACAGAGACATAGAGACGAGAGAGAGCTGCTGTGAAGAAGAAGAAGCAAAAAGCCTCCCACCCTCTTTACCACCAAACCCAAAATCCCTTGTCTGATTTTCGAGGGTTCATGTCTTCCTTCCTTCCCTCTTCTTCTTTTGCCCACCCTTCTTTAGTAAGTATCTCGTACAGTTGGACAATTGTTTTTTTAATGGGCCTTCTTCTTTGGTTGGCTTCTCTTTCAGAAGGCCCATGAAATACCTCTAACTTGGGTCAGACTTCACGCCTTTTTAATAATGGTCCTGATCCCTTGCTGAATTTCGTTTTTTCTGTTTTTTTTCTTTGTAGTCGGGGTTTTCATATTTTTTGTTTGTTGATAATAACTTAGGTGCAAAGGGACGGTCTTAATGCACCGATCAACTAGCCTAATCTTGAGATTTTCAAAATTTTCACTAACACTTTCTAAATATCGAACATGTTCACAAAACCCCTTTCATAAAAATATGTGATTTTAGACTTCTGTGTAGTTAATTTTTAAGACAATACACAATCAAAGTCAAAAATATTAAAAGAGGATAGGTTTTATAATGGCGCTCGAATTGAGGGATAAAGAAAAAAGAACCCCACTGCATTTACCTGTGCATTCGAAGTCCTACGTCCATTTTATCCCACCCCCAATATGGTTGTATAAAAAAAGAAGAGAGAATCCAACTGAACCCAATTTGGTGTATGAAAATATTAGCGAATGAGTTTCATCTGGATACCAATGAATTTGTTGTTTGGGGCGGGAGTCTTTTTCTACCAAAATAATAATGTTACAGCTCAATTTCTATCATAACAATTCAATTTGATTGTATGGTCAAGCCTAGAAAATCTGGCAACCTCATCTTTTTATTCCCCCATGTGATACTTAAAACATCTCTTTTAAATACAAAGTTCTGAGAAATTAACTATGGAACAAGGTCCAGGTTCAAACTATTGATCCTTGTACTGAAGCAAAATCATGTAAGATTGGGCTGTGATACAATTGTGTGAACTAAAAAATTATCAAAATTTTATAAACAGAGAGTACGTTTAGTATCACAGTGACTCTGGCACTTGCTTTACAGACAAATCATCTATGATACATCAACTTTTGAAATTCCCTCTGTAAATGCCTACCTTTGTGAGGATGACACACTTCTGCGAACTTGACATCTTTATACTTTCAATTTCAGTTCTGCTTCAAACTGCCACAAAATTTACCCCACCACAGAAGCAGCTGCAACAATGATAGGCTTCAAAAAACTATAATCTAAACTTATGGATTTAGTTCCATCGAGCTATCGAAAATGAAAATGCCACTATGCACTACACAATTTCATCAATTTCCGGGGCTGTTGGAGTGTTTGACCCAAAACGATTATAAGAAATAATGGACAATGGGAACAATGATTTTGCTAAATGCACACGTGCATACCTAAAAAATAAATAGGCCGAATCCTCCTGTGACATCTCTACTTGTTGGAATCTGATGATGCCGCCGTTAGTGTAGGTTGAGAACTTTCAGCTTCTTCAGGGTTGCCTCTAGAAACTTCTTTTTTTAATTTGTGATTATTGTATGCTGCTACACCTGCTATGGCTGCATAAGAAGTACTGTACCATTATAATTTACATTGGTTTGTAGGTAATGCTCTCTTATATTGTTTGTCAACCAGAAATCCCTTCATTTCGTACTGTTTCTTTCAGTTTTAAAAGAGGAATAGATACAATACTACATTTTTGATAAAGCCCCCTATCAGATATATCCAACAACTAAGCCACTTTAAACTCGAAAATTATATACTACTAATCAGATCCTAGTTTCTTTTTCTTTCTTTTTTTGGGTCAACGGATCCTAGTTTCAACTCAAAGACCCCTGGGCTATTACAACATTAAAAACTAAGTATAATCTGGAGGTATTTATGAAAAGCTGAAATATGTACAACCAAAAAATGCATCTCCAACAAAAAATGATCTTAGAAAACAAACAAGAGGCTTAAAAGAGACAATGAGAGCCAGCTAGGTTAACTTCCACCGCAAAGGCAACTCCATAACATGAAGAAGACCACTTTCTTGTGTATTTTGCGGATGCATTTGTGCTTTGAATATATACCTCCCTATAAGTTAATATATAATTATTTACAATACATATTAAATCTAGTCATTTCAGCACCATTCATTAATATCTATTAACACTTTACTAATATCATTTTATACCCACTCCAGTGCTCTTTGACCTTTTGAAAATTTAAAATTCTCCTTCTTGTACTTTCATTCCACCAATGTCTATCATGTCTTATAGAAAATAAATGATGTGCTAAAGCATAAATATGCATACAAGGTCAGACACTTACCAATGCCATAACCTGCCAGATTTATAATAGTCAGCTTTGTATCAGCAAAGAGAAGGGCAGACAATAAGACAACCACCCAATCCTTGACAACTCCAGCAACACGAATGGTCAAGGCACTTGTGTGAGTGATCACAAGGAAAACTGATAAGTTGAGGGCAAAAGTGCACAGAGAATTGAGTGTTAGCAGAAGGAGTGGAAAGTTCCATGAGCTATTTTCTTCCATCTTTGTTTTCTCCAAAAAGATCCATGGAATGAGTAGGCAAAGAGCACTGCATACAAACTCAATACTCATATCACACAGGTCTATAATATTTTATAAGTATAAATGCAAAGCTTGATGAATTTTACAAGTAGAAATGCATACCTGCACGGGCTAACATAGTACATGAGAGATATTGGATTTAATTTGAGACCCTTCCTTTTAACAAAAATCTCCATAAAAATAAGTCTTAAAGCTTCTCCAACAACTCCTCCCATTTGATAAACTACTCCAATCCAGCTGATATTTATTTCACCGTAAGAAGCCACCAGAACACCTAAACTTATCACTGACATGATCAATAGCATTCTGCAGCTCATTACCTCAAGTCCTGCTGCTACTCCAAGAATGAAAACAGCTACTGGCACTGCATACGTCACTCAAGAAATCATAGACTGAGAGAGATAATTCCTAATCATGATGAATGGTTAAATACAATCACCAGACTTTAAGACCAACCTACTTTTCTACTGCTGAACAAACAGACAGCCATAGGGGCAAACCATCATATAAAACAGCAGAGATTCCTCTGGATGCCCAAACATAGAGATTAAGGAAACTTCCTTTGATGAAAATATTTCTCCACAGGCTACATTTAGTTATAGTGCATTGAAAAACAAAAAAGAATTAGTGAAAACTTACTGATTGCTTTCAACATTTGTGCAAATGCAACAGAAATATACATGTAGGCAGTATTTCCCAGCCAAAGAGTCATAGCAAACATTGCACCAATTGGCATCACTGATGAGACGTATCTGCAGAACTAAAATTCATTAGATTATGAGGAAGAACAATAAAAGTGGAAAGTGTGAGATGTTATAAATGATTGACACAGTTGACTTAGCCAGAGGATCAATGACCTCAGTGAAATATGCAAGTTAAGGACCAGCCAATGTTCATGTTTTTTTTCTTTCTTTTTTTTTTTTTTTTGGACAAGAAAAAAAGAAGTTCAAGTAATCAAAGTCGCCAGTTCTGAAAAATATATTAAATCAGCAGTTTAACTTCTTTTTTCTTTTCCGTTTTTCTTTCTAGCAGTCAAACTGAACCCCGGAGACTCTGTACGACTTCAAAAGATGGCACAATGATTTAAGAGTGCAATAAGAATCATATTAACTCCACCTGCTTCAAGCCTGTAGGAATTGTATCCAACTTGTTGGTCAAAGGAAAAGTGTGTTTAACTTTCCTAGTTTTTTTAAACTTCATTAGATAGTTGGAGTCAGTTCAATTAAGAACCAAAACAAATATCACTGGACTTGAGTTCATTAGCTTATAGATGCAAATAATCTCTCTACTTCTGAAACAATGAAGACAGCCTAATTAGTAACATCAAGCTATGACACAGAAAAGAAATCCCTCCAATTATTTGATCACCACAAAGAGACCAGTAAATCTATATTTAAAACCACAAAAAACACTAAAAATTGAAAGATACCTTCTTTGAAAATAAATTGTAAAATAAAGTAAGTGTACTCCCTCTTTACTTACATTTCTACTGTCATTCCTTCCTCAATCTTCATAATCTGTAAAACAATAAATAAGTTTAAGAGTACCACTGGAATTTTCGATTTAATGATTATCATAATAATTAGTGACCTGCATACCTTAAAAACTTTCGTGAGTAAAAAGCATAAGACAGAGGAGAAGACCATGTGAAGCAAAGTCAATCCAAGAGGATAAGGGAAGTTTATTTCCTTGGACGACAAAACCCACTGCATTCCACAATTCAAACATTATGTTAGCCCTGCAAAACCTCTCACAAGAGTGTATCTCCACTTAATCATAACAAATAGCTTTCAATGCCAAAAAAATTTAACAAAAACAATAAAAATATACAGATGCCAGCAATTACTTTTTCATTTTCAAGGAACAAACCCAAAAATACACATAAACTAGCAATAAGCGGCATCAGACTAAACTGAATGGTGAGTATTAACGCAATCTTTCACAGAGAGACAGACAGAGGGGCATTATTAACGCAACCTTTATCATATTTTTATTTATTTATTTCAACACAAAGTAGTTAATAACAATAATTCTCCTGAAAATAGGTATTATAGCAGCAAAGTAGTTGCCTCACTCACAGTCCCTGCAACAAAATAAAAACAGATAATAACGGAAAAAAAAGGGCCTGTTGTAATAAAGGTTTTGAGCATCCAAAGTGACTTGAATGTCTAATATAAACAAGTATTACACCTAGACCTACAGAAATACAGTGGTTGGAAAAGATGGATACTCTTAAAGTTCCAATTCCTCCTCTGTTTTCAACGAAAGTGGATTCGTGTGAAGTCTACCAGCACCTTCTATCTAATGGAAATTACCAGAACCAGACCTCCAAAGCTTTACTTGACCTTCATTGCTTTAATAGTCTTTTACAGCCCTCAATCAGTGTCAAAATGAATGAGGGGAAGCAAGACAACCATCGATTTTCTTGAGAAATTCATTTCATATCTTAACCATTTTGCAGTTTTGCTTTAATTTTTCCTTACTTTCAAATACCCAAACACAGGGCATTTGTAAACTATGTGTGTGTTTCTCTGTAAATGTCAAAACATTTCATGCTAAGGGTAAGATGCATGTCTTTCCATGTCCCTAGTTAAAAAAAAATTAAGCTCTGTGATGAACCAGGTATGAACTTTTTGGGTAAATCCTTGTCATGTCAACTTCTAAAGCTGCTCCTCAACCTTTTGTGTTTCTCTGTTGCCATTTGCTAATGCAGGCAATGAGTAAGAGAGAGAAAAAAGGCCACAATAACTGCTTCTCGAAAAGCAATTAGGAAAAAAGAGCTACTTGATTAGAAGGGGCTTCCTCACTAAGCTCCTTCTTTTCGTTTTCTTTTTCCTTTTGTTTCCTTTCATGTCTTCCAATAAACAGATACATCCAACAAAATCATCCATTCACTATCAACGATAAAGTAAAGCTAATTTCCAAAGCAATAGAATCAGTAAGCATGCAATGCAAAGTCATCTTCGACCCAGCTCAAGCTATACCATAAGCTAGTAACTGGTCAAAGTCGAAATGGGTTTTGTCCATTTATCAAACCCTAGAAAATTTACCTCAACATTTTCTCAACAACCAAACAAAGGAAGACCTAATGCTCAAAGCAATGCGAGTACCTACCTTGTTGAAGAAGATCTGGCCGCTGGAGAGTGCGATGTAGAGAAGAAGGTAGGCGTAAGTGAGGGCCTCACCCTTGAACAAAGCTCGCAGCCGATCCGCCATATCCGAAGCCGGAGGATTGGAAACGGAGGTTACGTGATAATGTATGAAGAAGATAAAACTCTGTACGGCTGAGAGCTCCTGTTTGGCGGTGAATAGCAAAAACCGTTTTTTACGTTTAAAAAAGTGCTTTTGGAGATCTGGTGGGTGTTGCAGTAGAATTTTTTTAATTTTATTTTTTGTATAAAGACTAATGATATTTATAGATCACTGAAAGGTGAGCTAAGTTAGAAATCTTTGCAATTAGAAAGCTTGCTTAGCTTTTCGTGAAGAGTCGAATAGAGGTGGAGTGAGGCCGAATGAGAAGGATCTTCCTCTTTACTTTTTGTTTTTGGTGGTAAAGAAAACAACCAATCAACGTGGATTTTTGTCTTTTTTGGGAGAATGCTGTTATTTCTACCTGCCCACTGTTTTATTTCCCCGCCTACCTTATCTTTCTACCCACCCATTGTCTTATTTCCCCGCTCACCTTATCTTCCCACCTACTATGTAAATTTGAAAAAACACAATTCATATATTTCCACCCACTATTATTCCTAAAATACATTTTAATTGCTAATTCAAGCAAATTTAATAAAAATTTGACAATGACGCATACCTCAACTACTAATGATTAGCAAATGGAATTTGCTTGAATTAATAATTAAGGAGTATTTTAAGAACATATAATGGTGGATTGTGTTCTTTCAAATTTACAAGGTGGGTGGAAAAATAAGGTGAATGAATTTGCTTGAATTAATAATTAAGGAGTATTTTAAGAACATATAATGGTGGATTGTGTTCTTTCAAATTTACAAGGTGGGTGGAAAAATAAGGTGAATGAATTTGCTTGAATTAATAATTAAAGAGTATTTTAGGTACGTATAATGGTAGGTGGAAAGATATGGATTGTGTTTTTTCAAATTTACATGGTGGGTGGGAAGATAAGGTGGATGGGAAAATAGAACAAAGTGTGAAAATAGCAGCACTCACCATGTAAATTTGAAAAAACACAATCCATATCTTTCCACCCACTATTATTCCTAAAATACATTTTAATTGCTAATTCAAGCAAATTTAATAAAAGTTTAACAATGGCGCATATCTCAACTATTAATGATTAGCAAATAGAATTTGCTTGAATTAATAATTAAAGAGTATTTTAAGTAGGTATAATGGTGCGTGGAAAGATATGAATTGTGTTTTTTCAAATTTACATGATGGGTGAGAAGATAAAGTGGATGAGAAAATATAACAGTGTGAAAATAGCAACACTCTTTTTTGGGATGAAATTGAAAGTTTTTTTTTTCTTTCACAAATGATATGATATAAAGGCAGCATACACAACATAGTTATGTTATGTTAATGGAGCTAGTCAAATTAAGTATCGAATTTATTATAAATATATACGGTGCTTGCATTCGTGTGAGTCCAACATGAGAGGAGTAACTTGATCATCGAAGAATCTTTAGCTGACAGGTCCTTTCTTCCTAATTATGGGAAAAAATTAAAAAGCTTCTGCTGACTATAGAAATGCAATACATGGCTTTTCTTATCCAATACAATTCACGCACACCTCTTACCTTAGAGCGAAAACGTTTGCTAGTTAGGCTACATATACAAGATATTTGCATTGGAACATTCGTCAAACTGATGGTAAATCTCTAGTGTAAAATACTCAATGACTTGCATTGTGTTTTACATAAATTGTGATGATTTGACATATAACAATCCCAATGGAGTATTTTCACCCAGAAGGAAAAGCTATATATTACATTAAATGGGTAGAAACTGCCCTTCTCTTCAGCTACTCCAAAGCACCGAGATCCCGGCAAAAAATTTCGGTGTGCTTGTCCAGGAGCCAAAGGCCTAGCATGTTAAAGTTTCCCACCATGTCGCATGCCGTGGTAACCAGTCAGATTTATCTTTCATCAAACATTGAAGACGTTTTCCTTTCAAATGTTGCTACCAATAACAAACACAACACAACTTATCTACACACCATTTTCTTGATGGCATTGGTCACTAAGTCAACAAGTGCATCAACTTTTGTTATGAGGTCACCTTTTTCGGCAGATTGTCATGCCATCTCCAATGGGTACCTGACCCTCCAAAACATTTAGGGTTATCAAACAAATATCTCTGAACTTTCACTTAGGTATGAAAATACAAGTGGTAAGACCTACCATACTAATGCTTACACGCTTGTCCTGCATTATACTTGTATTGAAATTTCTAATGCTGACAGTCTTGGCATCATTTACCTGCTCAAAAAACACAATTACAATTAAGCAGACTTCATTTTAATGGGACAGAGTTAATAAACCATGGTTATTGATTCACACCTCTGGGTCAGCAACTTTTCCATGCCAGAGAACATTATCGAACACAATTAGACCCCCAACCTTGACCTGAAACAGAAGACCAAAGCCAAAATGAAAACTGCTCAAGGAAACTGAATGAGAAAGAAAGAGAGAAGGAGAAGAACTAGATGAATATGAATTTAAATAAATTCTTTCGGTCTTACAAGTTGTAGCAACAGTTCAAAGTATTCCTGATACATTCTCTTGTCAGCATCAACAAATGCAAAATCATAGCTGCATAGAAGAGTAAACATGTGAAACATGTTCCTATAGTTATTAGTGGGCCTCAGAAATTAAGGCTAAAGGTGAGGTAAAATAATTAAAACATAAAGCTAATTGTTTAAAGAAAACCGGAAAATATAAAAAGAGAGGTTATATTTGGGGAATTCACAGCAGAGAAAAGTTGTGTTGGTAATTAAAAGAACTTGTATCAAGAAAAACAATATGGAATATACACAATATCATGACCATACTGGATGGATGGCTAACCACAAAACAGCATTACTGTGAAGATGCAAGAGAATAAATTAAAAGTAGAGAACTATTATATATTATTCTCTGATATTTGACAACATCCAACCCACAATCTTTCATCATAATGTTCAGAGAAAACAAGTTGAAAAAGAAAAATGCAATATGCATCATGATTTTTAACATTGCTTCATTTACCTACATGCTTCACCACTCAGAATCAGTGATCTTAATGCATCTGCTGCAAGTCCATATTTAACATGCACCTAAATACCAAGTTAGAATTTCAGAGCCATATATACATATATATGTTGAAAGAAGTATTAGGAAAAATAGTTGAAGATATAATTTGTCGTGTTATATTCATATGCATATAACATGGAGAAAAAGGATGAACTTGATATATATGACCAGATGGTGCTTCTCAAGTATATTCTAATTTCCGTAACACCCACCTAGCATATTACCACAATGTACTGGTGTAGAACACTTAGCCACTGCATAAGTTACATAGTCATCTATTTGCAAGAACAAAGCCTCTAGTAGTTGTACTGGCAAGTGGAAGACATAACTACCTTGTGGGAAACATTCGCTTTATCATAATACTTTTTTGCGACCTCAAGACTTCTGCCATCTCTTTCACACGCTACTAAACTCCCTGATTCAGGAAGGACCAATGCAGTAGCCAACGATGAATATCCCTGAATTAACAATAATAGTTATATCAGATGTTGCATTCATCAAACTAACGTGTAAGATATTCTTGACTCTTCTTAGGCTCCTAACAGCAAGATTAAGAAATAGGAATAGAGAAGAAAAGAGAGGGAAACAGAAGGAGCAGGCAAGGAATCTCTAGGTTAATTATATTTCCCCATATGCATCAAATTTCTTTTTATTTTCAATTGATATTCTAGGTTTAAAGTGACAATTAAATAATTACCATTTCCTAATAGAAAGGGCCATTTTAGTACATGGAATGAAGTTCAAAGGGGCAATGTGAGCCAAATTGAAAGTCAAAGACCAAATGAGAACAAGCCTCAAGGGGCATTGGTATAATTTACCCAAAAAAGAAAGTATAATTATAAATTTAGAAGAAGGCAGCAGGAAGTCTGTCAGGCGAGCAATGCAGTTAAGTTTGAATGAAAAATACACTTACAGTATAAACACCAACTTCAATACACTTCTCAGCCCCATGAATCTGCACAAGCATTGCAAGCAGTTGAGCCTGGTCAGGAGACACCTATCCAGAGAACGCCCCAGTCAACTTTTGCAAGGACATAAGACAGGCCATGCAAAATAATCAAATTCATATAAATCACTTAATATTTGTGGTTTTCTTGGATATGTAATTATGAAAGCCATAAAATATTAAATCTTTCCTGAAGCAAAATGCTTGATAATTAACAGTAACAAGTACCTGCATCTGACTACCACGCATAGAGGCAGTCTCCTCCCTAAGTTGTCGTAGAACCTGCAATGTACTCTCTATCAAGATACCCCACATGGACAATGTAGATGTACAAGAACCAAAAACAAAACAAAAAGAACTAAGATACCCAATTATGGGGGAATTGAAATCAAAATGTGGGTTCATTTTACCTCTGGCTCTCGAACATTGGCAAGAATGTAATTGTAAACTTGTGGAGTAATACTAATAACCTGCTTGTTTCCATACTTCTCATCATTGGCAACAACAAATGGGCTGGTAGCACAGCCTCGTACACTCTTCCTCGACTTTCTGTTGAATGCTGTGAAGCCAAAGCAACCTCTATGGCACCTCACAGACGAAGCTCTGGAGTTGGCAATGCTAGCAACAGTGACAGTTGTGGACAAAGAATGGAACTTTTGTAATGGCTTTGCGGAATTTTGCGGCAGAATTACCCGCTGAGAGGCTAACACAGACCAATGATGAATCCCCAAGCTGCTGCTCCCCATAAAGGCAAGCTGTGAATATCAGTTAACAAGAGAGTGGCAGACTGCAGAGCAATGCTTATCATAGTAAGAATAAGATGAAGGGAACTACAGTAAAACAATATAGCATATCATAGAATAAGCTAAAGAATCACAAACTGAAGTTCAACTCTCTTTCTCTATCTCTTTTCCTCTTTAAAAAAATTTCTTTTGGGGATTTTTACAAACACCTGCTGAGCATGAGTGCCACTGACACTACGATTGGCATGAATAAACCCGAATTAAAGATAACAACAATACCTGGGATTGCGATTATATTTGTATGTTTTAGAGCGCCAAAAATTCAATTTTGACAACGTTAAATCCGCATATCTTGGAAAAACTTACTGATTTAAAATTGATCGTCTGTTGAAGCCTTGAAGGAAGACTGAGTTGGGTAAGGGCCACTCTGGTTTATCTGTTGAAGAACGACTTAGTTGGGTTGCTAGGCCCATATCAGTTTGCTGTTTGTCTCTGTTGGGCTTCTTGTGCCCGACCCATACCCACCTCAAAAAAACCCGACCCGTCTGCACTTGCATTCACCAATCATTTTTGGCTGGAAGTTGACATCAAAACATCAAACTTCACAGACAGAAGATGAAAAAGAGGGAAATTTTTTCTCGTCCTTTTCCTTTGCTCATAAACTCACTCTTCTTCCATTGGGTTTTTTTTTTCTTTTTTCATTTATATCAAAAGGACAAAGGTATATTATCCCAAATTCATTTTTTGGGGTTCAAAATCATAATGGAGGAGGATAACTGTGAAACACACAAGGCTTTTGTGGATGAGGCCCTCTCTTCCCCTCATCCGATTTGGTTTGAAATGCCCACCTCCAAATGCTCATCCATTCTCTCTCCTTCTCTCTATCTCTCTCATGAATTTTGGAAGAATATGAACCCCACCCGGTTTGTCTTCATGCCACCTCATACTTATAAGCTCTTTGTTTGTGTTTCACTTCAGCTCATTCGCTATTTCTCTATCCATTTTATACTACTCTTCATGCACTCTGCTGCATAGTGTCTGAACCCAAGGTTAGTGTCTTCCTTTCTCTACACTGCTCTTGTTTCCCTTCAGCTCTGTGTTTCAAGTTTCTCTGTCAAATGGGTTTTGTCAAACAGCTTTGAAAGACTATTACTTGGTACAATATTTCAAGTGGGGGTTTCAATCCCACTTTATAATTTCTCTTTTTTCTATTAGAAGAAATTAAAGTAAGCAACTTTGGATGCCTGGTTAGTTTTTCTTGCCATTGAATTGGGTTCAATCTCATTTTTTATATATATACCAATTTGGTTAATTGGTCATTGTACTAAAGAACATAAGCTATCATAGAATTTTCAATCTCAATCTTATTCTTTCTAATTCTAATCTAGTATCTGCTCAAGCAAGCGAACTAGTTAAATCATGCATGACCATCTAATATTTAAGCACTTTCTTGTTCCTAGAAAAAGAAAGAAAGGGAAGAAATAAGTAGATTCTTGTAATAGTTGAAGAGTTGAAGGATGTTCCATAAAATTTGTATGCACATGCAGAATATGATCTGATTCGCAGGATGTTGATGTTAAATGCATTTTTTTAGGGAAGCATTGACTGTCAACTATTGAAATGGAGATAACCAACGTCAGTGAGTATGAGGCCATTGCAAAGCAGAAATTGCCAAAGATGGTCTTTGACTACTATGCATCAGGAGCAGAGGACCAGTGGACTCTGGCTGAAAACAGAAATGCTTTCTCAAAAATTCTGTAAGAACTCAATCTTTATCTAGAGCTGCTCAGAGTTACCAAAAGTAGTACTTGATACTATTCATCTAGCAGTTTTTTTTTTTTTTTTTTTTTTTATAACTTTTCTGGATAAGAAAGTAACATTTTTGAAATTTTCTGAAACAAACATATTTTCATCGAACATAGGTTTCGACCCCGTATTCTTATTGATGTAAGCCACATAGACTTGACCACTACTGTTTTGGGCTTCAAAATCTCAATGCCAATCATGATTGCCCCAACAGCTATGCAGAAAATGGCTCATCCTGAAGGTAAGTTATCGTTTCACCTATTATGCATAAGTAATTTTTTATATATCTAGAAAAACACACAGCACAACTGGTGAGCCGTTCGCCTTTCTCTTGGGGTGATATCTGGATAAAGCATTTGAATCATATTGGATCATGTGTGCTAATATCATCTTTACCCCAGTAAGCTATTGACACAACATAAATAGTTACCTTGAGATCTTTTTTATGTGTTACAAACAAAAACAATGAACAGCGTTTTGACTAGTGTCACCCAGGGATTATGTAATTAAACTACTTACAACATGGATAGTCCCAGTCCAGTGTGTTGAGCTTGAGGACACTTTTAATGTTTGTGTACATTTGCTTGAGAAAACAATTTCTTATATTGTACAAAGGATGAACTAACATCTGATCTCAATCCATTTTAAAATGGCATCTTGTCATCCTCCCATGAGATTCAACAATTTTTTATTGCCAATCTTTGAGCTTTTCTCCTCATCCGGTATCATACTTAATACTGTTCAGATTAGCAAGAGGGTGTCCGTCTGACAATGATATGTGAATTATTGCAGGTGAATATGCTACCGCTAGAGCAGCATCAGCAGCAGGAACAATTATGGTACTGCTTTTGACCTTGATCAATTGTCTCTTTCAGTAGTTTTCCTTGCACTAATAAAGATTCTAACCCCATGAATTCTCACATATATTATTGTGATAGTGATAAATTGCTAATCTAGGGATTCAATAAGTATAAGCAATCAAAAGTGGAACTCACAGTGTTTACTGTTGGTAATGAAGGATAAAATGCGTTCTCTTATTTCAGTCCTGCGTAGTCTTAACTGGCAAAAGTGAACTAGACGACCTGCCCATATTGGAAATTTTCATCCAAAAAAAAAATTAGATATTGCATCAAAAGCTTAGGAGAAGTAAATGGTGTTGGGTTGTAAATGGCGGTAGTAATGTAAAGGTGTTGGGAACTTTAATATATCCTCTGTTTTCAAGTACCTTCACTGCAGATGAATAGTGTTTTGAATCATCCTAAAACAAGAAGTGGGCATGCTTTTGTGTGAGGAAATAAGAAAGGTTGCACTCAGTTACATATTTTCATAATTGCCTTAGAGAAAACTCCTATTTGGGGCCAAGCAAATGCATCTTTTGGTTGTAAATAAAAAGTGATACTTGAGAATTTCATTTACGGGATTGAACATGCTGGTTGGCTCTTACTTCTACCGCTTGTATATTGTTTCAGACTTTGTCTTCATGGGCTACTTCAAGTGTTGAAGAGGTTGCTTCAACTGGACCTGGAGTCCGTTTTTTCCAGCTCTATGTACGCTCAAATAACTAATTTCATTTCTTTTCATTGTTTACTGTACTTTATTGTCCCTGATCTTGTGTTTCGACTTTTGTGTATATGCTTCCTTGCTTTTGTCATCCATGATTTTTCTGGTCATAATTTTCAGGTCTACAAGGACAGGCATGTTGTTGCTCAGCTAGTGAGAAGAGCTGAAAGGGCTGGGTTCAAGGCTATTGCTCTTACAGTTGATACTCCAAGGCTGGGTCGCAGAGAAGCTGACATCAAGAACAGGTCAGCTTCATGTCTATAACTGTTATAGCAATACCAGTTGCTGAAAACATTCATGTCAACCTGGTAAATAAATTTGCTAAAGATTTGTGTCTCTCTGTGTGTGTATTTTCTTTTAATGGTTCAATAAGACTTGTTCAATTTAGCATTTGATGTAAGCTTAGCATGCGCAATATTTGTTGTCTTGCAGATTTACTTTACCTCCATTTCTGACATTGAAGAACTTTGAAGGTTTGGATCTTGGAAAGATGGACGAAGTGAGTACAAACTGTCCCCATCCTAGTTCCTAATATTAAGAATAATGTTCTTATGTTTAATTTGCTCTGTGGGGATCTTGCAGGCCGCTGACTCAGGACTTGCTTCATACGTTGCTGGTCAAATCGATCGTTCTCTTAGCTGGAAGGTATGTCAGATAACGAAATGTTGAGATACATCATACATGAACTTTTTAAGAATGGCACACAATACAACTTGGTGTTCATAAGTTATTCAGCCATCTTCCACTGAGTTTAAAAGCGTCCAACAAAAGAGAAGGGATTTAATATCAAGAAATGTGCAATGTTTCTAGATCATAAATGGGATTTTTCAAAAAGTATTCCATCTTCTGAAGGGAAATATGTGAATTCAAAAGAAGGAAGAAGGTGTTTTGGCTGGGAATTTTCAGCTGGAAGTTTGTGAAAAGAAACTATGTTTTCTCGACATCTATGCATTCTTTTGAATAATATCTGATGCGCATACAGTAATCTGTTGTTGTATTTTGACAGGATGTGCAGTGGCTTCAGACAATCACTAAACTGCCTATTCTAGTGAAGGGTGTTCTCACTGCTGAAGATGGTATAGTTCAACTCCTTTTCTCTCCTCTCTCTGATAGGTTTGTAAAGCTTGAATAAACTCTTCTATGCTCATCATGCAGCAAGGCTTGCGGTACAAGCTGGAGCAGCCGGGATTATTGTATCCAATCATGGAGCTCGCCAACTTGATTATGTCCCTTCGACTATTATGGCCCTAGAAGAGGTACAACCGCTTGATTATAGCTGTTGTTTATCTCTTTAGATATGTTAAATAAACATGCATGTAAGTTTCATATTTCTTGATCTGATGGTGTTGTCTTGATAACTAGGTTGTCAAAGCTGCACAAGGGCGTATTCCTGTTTTCTTGGATGGTGGTGTTCGTCGTGGAACAGATGTCTTTAAAGCATTAGCATTGGGTGCATCTGGCATATTTGTAAGTAGGGTTATGATAATTATTTTACCACACCATCAGACTTCACTTTTTTTTTTCTTTTTTCTATTTTGTGGCGCCTAAAAGTTGTTCATACAAGGATGGAAGAGCTGTTTCTTTCCATAGATCACTTACGGACAAATGTTTTTTGATTCCATGCCATCAAACTGGAAATTTCCAGCATGTGTATACTATAGAAATGCAAGTTTATTCATTCAGCTACAGTTCGCTTTTCGTATTATATTGTCTGTTCAAAACATACTGAGACTCACGTCTATGACAGATTGGGCGCCCTGTGGTGTTCTCTTTGGCTGCTGAAGGAGAGGCTGGCATCAGAAAAGTACTCCAAATGCTGCGTGAAGAGTTTGAGCTAACCATGGCATTAAGTGGATGCCGTTCACTCAAAGAAATCACCCGTGACCACATTGTGACTGAGTGGGACACTCCTCGCCCTCGCCATTTGCCTAGGTTATAGAAACATTCGTGAATGGTGGTGGAGAAATGTTTACAAGCTCAGAGTTTATGTGATCCACAGCCTGCCTTTTCTCTTGAATTCCTTATTTCTGCTTTCTGTAATGATACTGGATGGTGAGATAATATTTCATGGCTACTGCTGCCTTTCACTGTATATTCTTTGCATAAAATCGGAAATATATGGATGGCCATATAATTATTGCAACATGATCTCCTTGCTGGGTTTGGTTGCTGATATGGAAAAAGGTTGGTTCCTCATTGGGTATCACTTTATCAGACGCTGCTGAAGTTCAATGAATAACAATGTAGGTGGACAGCTTTCAAAACTAAT